CATGTTTTTCACCAAACGCCATGTAGTATTTGCAATTCCGCGATCAGGACCAGTACTGATTGGCATTGTCCGTGCGATCACTCTCCATAGAAAGTATTTCGCGATTCAGCAAGCCACTATTAACTTCTATCTCAATCGATATCGTCGAATCAAACGATGAAAATGTGATTAGTGTAGTTTACCATGCTTACGATACCTTGCGGACATTGACGTCGCAAACTACAGATTGCAGTAGGCGCAGCTCATACCTTCAGTTACTCGAAGTCGTATCTTACCAGGCTGTTTAGGTCAGCTGCAGTTGCACAGTCATCCTGTCCATCATTTGATCTCCTCTTTCGGACACTGCATCAAAACACCCCATGGAACATTGGTACGGTGGGTTTATCGCGAGTAAAAGTAGGGACGCTTTACGAGCCCCTTAGGCGAATAGAATCGAGCGAACATGTGAACGTTTGAAAGAAACAACGCGTATCGGCGGACTAGCCGCACGTTTTACCTGTGCATCCAGTTTGCTTTCCCCATGCTACGTCGTAACGACTTGGATCCTATCATTTAAGGCCGATGGGATAACACTATCACAAGTCGCGTTTTGGATTCAATTATTAGAGAAGTGGAAATAAAGGAAAGAACGGAAAGGCATCTCATTGCTAGAACATAGGGATAAACTAAAACCTCCAGAGATATTTTTAAAATTCATCATTTGTGACGAACTCTAACCGATAGTGATGTGATAATGGTGAGGTGTCGTGGCTGAGCTTTACGCATATTTACGGTCACTCAGGGTCTGTTGTACCAATGTTGGTTAATCTGCGGACGACGATCTTGTCTCCTGAAAACTCTTAATTTCTTCAGTACCAGTTGGTAATTTGGATGGAATCCGAAGAGCAGCGATGGCACAATTCTGCCAAGAATATCTCGCCAGGACCTCATGTAAACATTGGGCACTAATAAAAAGACAGTAAAGTCTAACCAGTCAGACTTTCTTCGCGAAATACTTAGGTATTGAATGACTTTGCTGGTTGCATTTTGGTTGGTCTTCAGCTATTTAGACAATCCCGTTCAACCATTCCGGGTTCCATTTATTGGGATGTCAATGTAAAAAGTACGCTCCAAGCCGATATCTGTAGGTGCTGCGGTGGTAGATACACAATTCTTCACACTCGGTTGCGTTACATTGGAGTATGTTCTCAGTTGAGCACTCGTAAGTCCTATGGAAGTTTCCTCGTTGTGTCATGTGTTTGTCCAATGTGTGGATAGCTTGCTTTATGCTGAGATAGTCAGTAAATGGTAGAAAGGATAAGTTGATCGCTCCCACGAGGTCTTTTATGAATATCATGAAAAACCATTACTCTACTACTGAGTCTTATGTAAACCACATTGCATTTCTAGCGAGTCATGGAAGCACAACGAACTTCAAATCCAAGCGTTGTTGAACTCGAACTGCATGTATCTGAATCAGGATAACATGACAGTTCGAATAAGCTCTGAACCATTGCAGGAAATGCAGCAATTCAAGCGATTATGGGCCTACAAAACATCAAGGTAAACACTGCTAACCTCATTCACATCGACACCTTCTGTCTGCTTGACACGGGGTTGGTAAAATGTTCGTTGTTCATGAGCAGTTTTACTGCAGGCCCTGCCGGCACAATGATTTTCATCTATCAAATATCCTGTAGGTGTGTCTGATATGACAGTTTCCCCGACTTTTGTAAGCACGGAAACAAAGATATTGTGTATTATTTTGCAGGTTCTTCACGTTTACCTCCCGTAACTAGGAGTGACTCACACATCTTGGGACCTTGCATATAGTCGAGATAGCGTTGGGTTCATACAAGCTCTCCAAAACCATCCCCAATGACTTTAGACGCATGTTTGGGGCAATGTAATTAAATGTTTCAACGTATCTGCGGTAGGGATGGAGATGGGTTGTGATCTGTGTGAGTGGTATGCTATCTCGGGCTTTGAGGCTTGCAGAAGAATGGTTGTTTGAAAGCATTGGCCTCTTATTGTGCACTTTACTTTTGCTCAAGTGTGCTGTTTCGAGTAGAAGTGCCTAACTACAGTTTACGGTTTTGTCTTACCTGTACAGCAGATTAGAGTTAGAACAGAATGCCATTGCTAAATCCTTTTGGTATGTCCTTCTATCTCTCCGTACCAGTCGGACGTAATAGTTACGCTCGATTATACAGGCTACCCATTTCACAGCGGTGGAAGTGGCTTTATATTTTTGCCAATATGAATAAGGTCGCATCTTAGCGCGCCTTACTCCACAGGAAGCGCTCCACGTTGCGGAAATGTGAGTCTTATCAACGGACGCGTTTGTCACTAGCTCAATGAACTGACTGATTAATACGTGTCAAGTGACAGCACAGGGTTGAGCAGCCAGAAACGAAGAATCAGTGGCTCCGATGAGTTCTGTTGGAGTGTTATGATGTGTCACGATACGCGCTACTACATTGTCATCGTTGAAGTGATGTGCGTAACGGATGTAGTAAAACAACAGTGTTATGCGATTGTTGCGACTCAACGGACTTCTGTCGTAGATAAAGCAATCCTATGCACTTTCCTGGGAGTACTTCTGTTGCTCCGAACAGTTTCTGTTCGATTTAGGTTCGTTGCGGTCCAGGTACTTTCACCTTCAACTCCACCGAATTATTACATCGAGAGCTTATAGACTCGATGAGTAAACGATAATCTGTGATTTTTAGTTGGTGATTCCCAGTAGACGCCCAGAGAACATAATAGTAGTCCATTTCAACCGAATTATAAAGAAAAGTGCGAGACCCAGCATGTGTGTGCCAATGGTGATGTGGCTATCAAAACATCTACCGGGCTGCATGCAGTATGAAAAGCCACATTCATTACAAGATCAAGCAAAACTTTTGTGTCATGAATACATAAAATACTGCTGCTGATGTTGGAACTGTTAGAACAAACCCACACCTTGATTTAGGTCACACCAATGTAAGCACCACAATATTTGTTTGAATGGTGTCAATTAACAAGGAGTTTTCGCTTATTAAGAAGGAGTGACACTGCAGTTCACGAAAAACGGTTAAACCAACTAGAGCTACTTACTGTTGCTCGATATCAACAGCACATTCAACTGCCTTTTTTCATGATGCAAGCGCCACAGTCGATAACGGTAATAGGGACATTGTGAGTGGTTCCCCTACCATTAGGTTACTAAATTGCCAAATCGACGCTTTTCCTAAACGTTAGAAATTCGTGCGCGACATATTTCCCAACCGGAACTCACAGTATTGGCGCAAATCTTCCCTCAAGTTGAGATTAGCTACCGGTTCAAAGAAACGGCATATCTTGAAAGCACCAAAGTAACAAATCATATTGTCCCTGTGGGTTTGCTTTCTCACGAACTCGGCGAATCCAGGCCACAATTCCGCAGCAGACTGTGATGTATCAAAACCAGTGCAACGTAACCTAATGAAGAGTACTCTAACTCATCAGAGGGTGAATATGCCCAAACGAAATCTGTGGCGCTCGATATTGCATCGTCTTTTGCCTACAGCTTGCTTCAGAAGTTTCGGTTTTGTTCCCTACAGATAGAAATACATTGTCTTGTTTTTGGATAACCCCTATTTGTTTGGATTTCTTGCGGAGCTCAATAACTCAGTGATCAATATGTACATCGTCAACCACTGCATCCATGCTTTCGCTTCCAACTCCAGTCATTTCTACCTGAAGAGTCCAAGCAAGGAGGAAACACGTCATGGAGTGCTGTGATGGGATAGCGTAAGTCCGAAACTTTCCACATAGAATAAGGCCACAGCAGTCGGAATGGTCGAGATTTACTTCAATCTAAATTGTGGTCCTAACTGAAACCGCGTCCCGCAATCGAAACACTCAACGGGTACTCCAAAACCAACAATGAAACTTGTTTATGATTCTGCAATGTTAATTGGCGTTCATGTGTCTACATGATAGTAACTATCAGTGAAACATCTTGAGCTAGCATTCATGTGATGCATTACCAGCTGGCTCCGATCACGTGGTGGGTTCATACTTTCGCAACAAGTCCGTTTAGCTCAACTGAGCTGGACTATTCGTGTGCAACTATTATTATGAAACTCGGTGGACTGTCGTGATTCGAGAAGCGTTTGCAAGCTGTTGAATATTCAAACTACTGACTGCGACATCGTTGTTTTTATACAAAAATGAATGCAGTGGAGGATAACTTTAGAACCGAGGCTACCACCGACTGTACAGAATGACAAGCTGCACAGAAAGTGAAGTAACCCGAATTTGGCCCCCTAATTAACCGCATAACGTTAGTCATGCCCCAAGAAATGACAGTGGCCCGTGTATATCGTTTGTTTACCAATTCTTGATTGACGTTGCTAGAGTAACACCACCCCAGCGTTGTTTCGAACGTTGTGTGCGAAACGCTTTGCAGTTGTGTGAACGCAATTAAAATAATCCGTTGTTATTGCATGCGTTTGTTTCCCATATTTAGCCTGAAACCGTTGGTGTAACTCAGTGCGTCACTATGCATTTATCTGAACGTTACGCGACCTGATGCAAGTTACAATGGGCACGAAACTATCTAGACACATCATCTGCCAGCAGATGAAACTCCACGGGCACGTAGCAAAAAGCATAAGTACTGTTGCAAGGCACAGGTGGTACAACTGCACCAACTGGATCGATCTAGTATGAGTGAGTTAATATGGTCAGTGTCTACGTTCAACATGCACTCTGCTATGAACACCTCATGTCTGCCTGAAACTGAAATATCAGCTATCCCAGTACCGGCTTCATTTGGGGTGTAACTGATTTGCCTCCCGGAGCGCGCCACTGGTAAGCACTGTATACGCAACAAGCCTCCAGGTTATACGATGCCCTCAGTACGTCCGGCACTGGAATGATATTGATCTCGTTGAAATTCCTCATGAAAGGTAGCCCAATTAACCACAATGGTATCCATTCCCTCGCCCACCGTCCAACTAGAAAAAATGATAAATTCAGGTTACGATGAAGAGGACGCTGTACTGTTTTATACATGAATTGGCACCGTGCCAAGCAAGGGACAGTGTAGAGTTCATTTTAAAATCAAAGACAACCACGAACTCGAAAGACGTTAGGCGTTGGGTATTCAAAGCTATTCGCTGTTTGGTATATACGGATCTTCAATCGTTAGCCCGGATACTCATCTTCATCTGTCCATGTGGGTGTAGTTCCAGCAGAATCGAAAGCTGTGCTGGCTTCTCTAACACTCGGCCGCGGCAGTGCAGGCAACTGTGGAATTTTATCAGTCTTCCGGTTAAAGATCATCATAATCAATTGATTTGTAGATGACCTGCGGGTGTGGGGGACTTCCAGGTCTGCAAAGTAAAAAATTTTCAGCGTACGGAATGTCGTATAAAATGAATATTCCGTTAACACTTGTCGCAGAAGATGATGGTGAGATTTTAATGGTCTAGCTTACCGAGCAGACGGTGGCATTCGAGGGGAATTGGTATCAGGCGTCGCAGAACAGCTTCTTCGAGGGTGCTAATATGTTTGATCGCTTCCCTGATTATAACAACCTGTGACAGGGTTACAAACAAAATGCTTGTCAGAAACAACAGAAGTTAAGCGGGGTACAATTTCGTTGATGACCCAGAATATAAAAAACTGTCCTAATCACATCAGTTTCTTCCCATATTTGTCCTAATTGGTTACTGCAGTTTTGTGTATATTTTGGTCACACTCCGATGCCTCTTGCGCACACTTATGATCACGATGCTGCTCTGCGTGTTCCACTCAGTACAAGCATTTAATGAAATAACCGGAAGGCAAAGCATTGCAGAAAACTGGCAAACCTAAACCCCCATGTCGAGCATGTTATCAGCATTCAAAGACCTTTTGGTAACCAACGAAACCATATTTCCCGTATTGCTGTCTCCAAGCATGGGTTAGGGGAAGTTGTCACTGCTGTTTCCGTGGATCCAAAGGATACCAAGTAGATGTTGTTACAGCTGAACAGCCCCCTTACCACTGGTTCACCAGCCCGGGGGGCTTTCACTAGGTCTGCTTTACGAATACGTCTAGGTTAGTAATGGGCGGTATGCACATCGCTAATTCCACGGCGCCCAGATCGCCTGCAAAAAACTCTGAGGAGCCTAAGTTGCACAGTCTCAGGAATACCCAAGTATGTGAAGGAGTGTTAACACCAGCTGCTGTATTTCATGGTTCAATGCCTGTCTGATATTCACTAGTAGGCTGCGCAGATTCAGATGTTGTAGGTAGAATCATAATCATAGGCTTTAAACTTGGCATATCAGAGGCGCCAGTAATTCCTGTCCTTAACGCTAGTTAGTGCAATACGTGTTATTATTACTATTATCAGTGAACTACAAGGGACACAACCCACTCTGGCGAACGATGGCGTCAGGCGAGAGCAGAGGACACACACAAATGATCTTACCTCATTGTTGCACTCAGTATCAGCTACGGTTGGGACCAATTTCTTTAAACGTTTACACTCCAGCTGCCTCAACTTGATAGTCCTACTTCTATGTAGGGCTCCCGCAGAGCAAGTTGGTTGTAATGCGAGCGGCATTCTGCGAGACGCCCTAGACACGGCCCAAATTAAAAGCCGCAGCTGCAGCGTGATTGGCCATTAGTTGACCAACCAACCACAGATAGCGCCTCCGGATCTTGTGGGTGTGCGTTGAGAACGGGGTAGGCGACTTACCACAGCTGACCGAGTATTTTATGTGGATTGTCACCAAGACGCACAAAGTGATTGTGCTCCAGAGGTCACCACTGCAGCTACTGCAGTACACTGATAGCGCTGCGTAACGTAACGTTAACAATATATGAGTTAAAAAGAAGCATTGGATTTTACTGATCGTAAACGATTGCTTGCGAGAAGTTTGTCTAGTGAATATTTTGACGGTGAACAGTTTCTGTGAAACAGGTCGCAGGAAAGGTTGGTGTGGGTGAATCGTTATTCCGAAGGGTGCTTGTAACAACTGCCTCTCTGTAAAGCCGATAATTATGGATAGTTGAATGTAAACCTTAAACTGACGAACGGTTCCCATGAGTGTGTTTGTTCAGACGCATTACATATCATTAAATAACTTTGTGGAGCTGATAATGACAGAGTACATGTTTGGGGAAATGTCTGTGTATTCAAGTGCGCTGCCTTATAGACTAAAACAGGACCATCCCGTTGGGCTCACTAGCGATGGAATAGGAGATATCCGGAGGGAGTCATTTGATCTCAATCTTAACTCGTTGGTAGATGGATAACAGGCGGAATAGCTTCGTACTGATCCTAGAGCCCCGTGGTGATTCTTACTAAGAGTTCGATCTTACACCTTCTACATTTATTTGGGGTGCTTGCAGCAGGTCACACGAGGTCGATTTGTAGCAGGTTTCCCAACTAGAACCTGGTAACCATCGATTTTTGTTACGTGCCTGCCACTGCATGACATCTGTGCCCGGTGAAAAACCAGTAGTATTGCTTAAGCATTTGAAACGCTAATGGCGCTTGTTACCGGTAGATCACTACTTCCTTGTGTAGTATCATTGAAAATTCACCCAGGATCACGCCCATTCCTCCCCGATTGGTCAACTTTGTCACCTTGTAAGTGGAGTACCGGCCGCCAACATCCAACTATCGGATGAAGCGAATAATGTCGTATTCGATATTGACTTGTAGAGTTCCACAACCTTGATTGTTGGTTTGCACCTTGAAAACGGTTTAGCATGAAGTGGACACGTAGCTTACCGGTTTGGCATGGAGAGAAGCAAAGAGCTAATACCAATCAGATACGGGTTACTATTGACGGTGACAACAGCCGATGACCGAATGTAATAGACTAGGAGTCATTTGATGAAACTATGGTATGTTGGGCACCGGAGAAGTTGGTGGATCAGATTACTACTCACTTTGACCATCAGATGACATTGAACTTTGTCTTCATATTGGTGAGAGCAGGAACCACAGCTCAGAGCGCTGATGTATGCAGGTTGGTATTCTCAGTCTCAGAAGGCCGTGGGTCTGAAGCCCATAATTTCACTTCATCGTTGGATACCAAGGGGACTAAGTAGCCTAGACAGGTAACTGGAAGTTGCAACATAGCTAGTGTCCGATTCAACCCCCATTTATTCAGTATTTGGTGTTTAAGACAATCTAGTGCAAACATTGCACAAGCCCGAAAGGAAGAGTGACTACGTACCACACAGTCATCGCCGAACTTAGCCCAGCTTCCCACAGACAGGTGTCTCCAAGTGAGACAGGTTGTTACTTCGATGGCAGAAATCAGGTCCCAACGATGCCTCCGCCTATGTGCATTTCATATGAGGTGCCTTGGCCCCTCAGCTTCATCTAGCTACTCGGCCTTCACTTTCTGTTCCCACCCAGAGATGTGTGTATAAAATGTTTTCCCAGACACACTGAGGATTTCAGGCGAACGCCATCGTACTCATCAACTGGGAAGGATCAGGCTGTTGTGCGACTTCAACTGGTCCCAACAGTCGGGAGGGGGGGTGAACTGAGCATAGTATATCGTGCACTCGTCTTGGTACAGCTCGACTGTACATGGGGTTAGGTGGAGTTCGTGGTGAGGGACCTGTACAGATGCAGAGCCGGAGGTAAATGTTCGGAATAAGAGAATCCTGTATTGTCTTCCACCTGTGTCAGGTGGAAGTACAGTGCTCATGATCAGATCTAAAAAAATAGCTGTTTACATCATAATCATATGCAACTATGTGTTCAGTGCGGAACATAGAGTAACTGTGTGCGCGCGGGTGGGGTGTTTGCACTAGTGAACAAAGCCATGTGGAAACAATTGTAGGCAAAGCGGATGGTCTCCAACGCTGGATGTTGTCCACTGCATGCATGTAAATCCACCGAAGATTATTGGGGAATTGACACCTGAATGATAAAGAGGAGTCATTTGTATTCTGGGTCATGGTGCCATTGGTAAACCGATGTATGGCTGACCGAAAAAGTTATTACTCTGCGGGTAGAGGAAGCGTTATTCTCTCACGGTTTCCTGTTCACAGATTAGTAAAAATAACCTACCACTCTGATGACGTTCCTAAACGCATAAACTTGGGGTAACCAAACCACAAGTCTTTCTTACACTTCGCAATTTTTGGTACTTCCTCAATGGTTGTGAATAATTAAATATGTTTTCTTATTTCTGGTCGGCACGATAAAATATTTCCCTTCAGCAACAGATCAAGAGGTACACATTTGTGATTTTGCTGGTTGCGAAAACATGAAAACTTATCACGGGTGCCACAATCGCATCATTTATGAAAGATATACCAAATTCTTGCGCTTTGCTCACATCTGCTCTACGATATGACTAAGTAATAACACTCTAACATGTGGCATTAGTGTGCACGTAAGTATTTTTGTGTGTTGCAGGATTGTCGAACTGTGTGGTGAGGTCATGTTAGTATCATACATTTACTGTGCTCAGAGATGAAAGCAGCGATTCTTGCAAGGTTAGAGCCCCCACCACCTGAATATTAGCAGCTCTTTTAACCTTTTAACACGGCTGCACTTGATAACAGTCGCGCAACCTACACCTCTAACGCGGCGAGTAACGGAACGGACGGTCTCACAGAACACATAGCGTTATTACAGCCCAACTACGGCTCTGTATTCGTTGCCATACAAGCTGCGTCAGTAGGCTAACAGATGGTCCACGTGGCAAAATACTGCTGCAGATGGCTCAAGCATCATCTCTGCACGATGACAGGACGAAACTTGTCTGTGTGCCTCCTGCAATTCTGCCCTCACTCTGTTGCCGTGTCCGGGGCAGACGAGTGAGCATCGTTGACCCTAGTCGGTTAGCGGCGTCTGCAGTCGCAACGTGGGACGCCTAGTAACCGTAGCATGGTAACCGTATCAACCTAGGAGAGCACTAACATTTTTTAGGAAGATGGGATGGATACTCGTGTGGTCCACCGTTCAATTGGCAGGGTTTCGTTGTAAGGAGGTGGGATACCGTCTGTTGGAACAAACACTATCGTCTACACCAGCCTGCACCCAGGTCGCACGCGGCCCCTTGCAAGCAAACCTGTGGCCCGTGCAAAGGATACTGTAATTTGTTCATTGGTGAATCGAAATTGTATGTTTTATAATTTAAGCTGAATATGAGTGCGTCGTTCAGAGCAAACGGCATGCTTTTCTTTATTCAGCAGTTATTTACACGTTGAAATAGTCAATCACCTTTTAATCGATTTCAAAAGCACAACAAACATGAATACAACTACGATGCGCGCGGGTTAAGCCTCCTAAAAATAGATATGAGTTTAGTTGTCAACACCACGTCGATGCATTAAGCACGTCCATCTGGGTTTGTATGGTTGTCGGCTGCGCAGGCACTGCTCGTTGTGTAGCGATTATGTGCGGGAGAGCCTAAGGTGCGCTGAGGTTTGCGGTGGTATACCCACTGCTGCTACAGTCTTGCCATGGACTCATATCCTGGACGTCACCTCGTGGCGACCGCTGGGTGGGAGCTGTATTACGCCCATCTCCTAGCTAAGAGCTGGAACATCACTCCGCATGAGTCAGTGAACTGACCATGTGCTAGACCCGCTAACTTTCGGGTGTACATTTAATCAAAGGCTTTGGCTGAGGACCTGAGTGGTTCTCCATTCAGGTGTGCGCCCTGCCAGTATCCTAGATCAAGCTCCATCAACTTCGGAGGTTACAAGTGGTCTTCCCTTAAAACCTAGCCTTGGGGGACAACAGGTCTACGGGTTTTAAGCTCACAGCTCAATTGGCGCCACGCATTGGATCTGACGGTGGTAGGGCACTTCCGGGTTCTCAATGGTTTACTGCTACCCGCCTCAAGCCAAGCAACCCTTGGTCAAATTGGTACAAACCTGCCAAAACCCTCCTGCGTCTGGCCGTGGTCGCAGGTGTATCATACTACGGTTGCAAGGCTGCGTGTGACGGCCGTCAAGCAGATCCCAATCTGTCTCTGCAATCACATTCCCGAACTGGATTTGCTCCCCACTGCCTTGTGGGTTCGGTTATTGAGTCAAAGGCTCCGGGCGGAGTCCCTCAAACAAACCCCCGAAGCAAAATCACTACCACGCGTGCGTTTGATCAGCAATGCAGTAGTATGCCTAAGCGCAAAGCACTCAACATTAGGTGCTGGAACGTGCGCGCACCACTGGACCGGAACTCGAGTGAGCGTCTCGAGCGACGCACTACACTGGTCGATATTGCGGAGTTCAGGGAGACTCGGCTCACTGAGCAGGGTAAGGTGCATGAAGCTGGTGCAGGCTATACGTGCTACTGGGTGGGAAAGACCACCTCGGTACCACATGAACTTGGGGTCAGATTTGCAAAAACCGATCGCCTAAATGGCTAGCTGGTGGTTGAACCAACAGGCAGCACGCGACTGGCCTACGAGTCGGAAGAGGTAAGTTTTCCACTTTTATAAGCAAGTATGGTCCAAACATGTGTTATCCTGATGACACGCGTGATCAATTCTATACTTAGTTGTCCTCTGCGATACGGTCTGTGCAGAGGAGCGACCGACTATTTCTGCTGGATGATTTCAACGCGCGCCTTGGGCATGA